GCATGTTTCCTCAAGTTCTGTCGCTCATGGGGTGGAATGGCTGCTGATATTCTTGAAACTCTTGCTGGCATCAGTGAGCGAGAAAGGAGGGTCAGGGCATGGTTACACTACTGAAATAAATCAGAGGATTGATCAGTGGATTTTGAATTTGGTTTAAAGTCACGTGATACATGTTTTGTGGGGGTCGGTGTGTGCATCCTCTTGAGAAAATGTTTTAATTAATTCTTAAATTGTGCTGTATAGGAGGGGGTAAAATGGGCTTTTAGAATTGTTGCATTTGAGGCTTCGTCCTGTGCCCTCCCACCCTCCTACTGGCTGCCTCTCACAGCCACTAGCCATTGTTATTGTAGTGTTATTTTAGTTATTTTTAAAAAATTTCTTGCAATCTGACATAGCGCTAGTACAGAAAGACAGATAGGAAAAAAATTAAAATGATGTTTCCCTGCAGCGGGATAAACCTGTAGGGACACACACAGAGAGAGAGAGAGAGAGAGAGACTGAGAGAGAGAGGCAGAAGAGAAGGAGAGGGAGCAAAGGAGCTCTGGGGCTGAAACTGGCCAGAGACATTGACTAAGCTTGCAAAGGAGGGAAATGCACAGAGAGAGCTGGTGAAGAAGAGGGACCAGGTAGCCTCCAGCTAGGGCTGAAACTGACCAGAGACATTTTTGAATCAATTGGCAGTTCTAGGCATGTGAAGAAGGAGCGAGACACAAATCTACACACACAGGGGATGGAGAAGGAGAGGGAGTTTGGAAGACACACCAGTGAGTTGCAAACCCCACAGTCACAATTTACACTGACAGAGGTATTCACATATGCCAAAACGATTTAAATTAAATGGATTTCCTGAGCAATTTAAACTAAACCAAACTCTTGTAGCTGAGTGGAAAACATGCTTCCCAGGGAAGCCCATGCTTCCATATGCATCAATTTAACCAGTTTGTTAAAAATTTATTTCAAACGTGCTAAACTCAACAGGTTTTTTTTCTCCCATGTATAACTGCACTCTTGGTTGAAGAAACTCTAATAATGTTTAGAATAATGAGGTCCCCTGGAAAATGCAAAATATCTAGATTGTAGAAAATTGTGTGTGTGTGTTTTCCTTTTTTTTTCTTGGACTGCATATCCCTGTGTTACTAAACCAACGTGCATAATTGTGGGAGTGGGAGTCCAAAAATCTATTTTTCTTCCAAAATTCTGGAACACACAAACCTGCATCTGAAGACATGGGTGGGTTGCAATGTGCAAAACCTTAGACCAAACAAAACTTATTAGCTCTGTAAGACTTTTTGTTGTTTTAGTTACTTCCGAATTCTGGACTATGTTTGTTTTACTATCCACCTATGGCTGCAGTTAGAAATATGCAACAAAAAGAGAGTCTTGTTCTCAGCAGTTTCCCAAGTCATGCCCTGCTGATCGCTTGCTATTGCTGAGACTCCCTACTGCTCCAGCACGAGGTCTCTATTTCATGTGAAAAGAAGACCCCTCATCTTGGTCTTCCTGTTTCTTGTTGTTCAACCCATCTCGTATTGGGTATTCGTCTTTTCCTGCTGCCTTCGACTTCTACTAGCATTATGGTCTTTTCCAGAAAATCCTGCCTTCTCGACGTGTGCCCAAAGTAGGACAGCCTCAGCGTCAACATCTTTGTCTCCAGAGACAGTTCAGGCTTGCTTTGACCTTGAACCCCCTCCTATAAATTCTTTAGCTTAAAGTGTCCTAGATTGAGGTCTGGTTCTTCTGTGGGAAAATCATGCACTCTGTGACTCAGCGTCAAATCTTACCTTACTTACAGACCCTCCTGGGTCTCATATATATGGAAGAGCAGAAAGTATTGTCATTAGCCGGTATTCAGATCACTGAAAACCATTCTCAAGAGTGTGGCCCAAGAGAAGAAGCCTCCAGAGAAGCATTTAACCCAAGTTTGTCTTTTAAAAAAAAGAGAGCCCCCTCCAACACTGAAAAGGCTTGCAATCTCTCCATCCCAATTAGTCTTTTTCTATATTAGAGTTCCTTCATCCCTTTGCCTCCCCCCCAATTCCATGCATTTCCCCTTTTTCCATACTGCTTCTCTGTATGCAACGATGTTTTATGGTGCACAGTGATGGGTGGGGAAATGTACTTTTTCATTATAACTGATTATACAGCAGGGCTACTCATACACTGAAGCTTGCTATTGAAAGGGGAAGATCCTTGCTTTAAAGGGATATAGTTTTGTGGCGGTAGGTCCTTCAGCACGGAATTGCCGGACGTAGCCAAATACATAATTTTGTTCTCCAAGATGAAAGGCGAACATGACCTCATCATGTTTGGTACGGACAAAAAAGTGTTGTTTTGAATCAGCCAACAATCTTTCAGAAGCCAATTTCTCTGTGCTATTTGGTATCTAATAGGTTTTTTGGGGCGGGGTGATTGTTTTTGATTTCCTTTTTCCGGGGAATGAAATTAAGGCCATGCTGGGTCTATTTCTATTATTTTTTGTCTTGTCTTGGTCAAATAATTAAGGTTTAGTGTTATTTCTGCTGGACTTTTCTTGCATCCTTGCTGCTGCTTTGGCGGTTGCTCCCACATGGGTCTGGGAAATGAAAGTTGCTTCTACCGTTGGCTTCCGCTTGATCAGTTTTGCTTGCCACAAAGTCCTTATCATTGGGCTTCAACTTCTCAGAATCCTCACCCAGCATGGCCAATTGCCAGAGGATTCTGGCAACTGAAGTCTGACATTATTTAGGTGTCCGGGTTTGGAAACTATGGCAATAAAACTTTTCAGTGGTCCAGATGTTTGTTGTTTGTTTGAGAATACACGCAGGAAAACTGGACCAGAGGGGCAGAATTCTTTGACATATTGCATGCTCTGGGCTCTGCTAAAAAAAATCATTCTCCTTTTGTGTAAGTGACCTGGAACCAAAGGGATCTGTTCCATAGAATGGGGGTGGGAGGCAGAGGAATGAGGGAACCCTAATTTAGAAAAGAACCATATTTAGACATTACCCTTAATCTATGATTTTCGGCAGAGAGAGAAAATGGGAGACGTGGGGAAAAGGCTGCATTTTGAAATACAAATAATCTAGACATGTCCATTTTATTGTGCGGAGTGAGCACTGTGCTAGCACGAAAGCATGAATGAAAAGCTAGCTTCAAATCCAGAATTGGGGAATGTCTCTCGAGTATCATAACATGTCTGTAGCTCTTCATGCACAGTCCTGGAATGGCAGAAGGAAGGGAAGAACCCATAGTATTCATTAAAATTAATTTTTAAAATGTTTACATCCAAATATTAGAGCTGCCTAATGTCCTCCGTTTGAGCATGAATTATAAATATGTTGACCAAGGAGAGGGGAAAGAGAGAGGACTCTGCATTTCAGTTGGTAAATTATTTAAACTGTTGGCATTTGCTTTGTGCAGCCAACAGGTTTGAATATCTGATGATAAATTACCTCTTATTTGGCTATTTGCTCTTAATCCCCATGTCCTGCTTATCTTAAAAGCCTCAGAGATCAGAAATTAGAAAGGGCAAATCTTGATGTCTCCGTGAATCTGACATAGTCTCCTTTTGGTTGAATGGGACTTCCTGAGAGAAGGTAGCTGACTACTACGGTCGTAACATCTAAATCAAAATGTTAACGACTGTTTTAGTAGACCTACTGAATCCATGGAACCTACATAAATTTTGACTCCCCAAGGTCCAGTTAATTTAGTGGGCTTGCTCTAGAAGCCAGCAACAGTTGGCTCTAGGCTTAATATGTGAATATTATGGAATAGATCACAGTTGGATTCTGATCCATTATCACAGGAACAAAATTGTGATCTCGTGTCCGATTATGTTCCAGTAATAAACTGCAAGGACATAGGATGAGATGGGACAAGATTTCTCCATTATTTGAACCATCCTTTAAAACTGTGCAAATTAACGTTCATCATCTTGTAGCCCTCAATTTTTTAACTTTGTGAAGCATGGTGTAGGAAAGACTTGCTCTTACCTCCCTGGAATCTGTTGCCAGCCAATTATATTGGATGATTCAAGTCTTCCTGTTGTGTGAGTGAGAAACTTCAGTCTATCCACTTGCTTTGTGCCATGAGTAATTTGATAAAGCTTTCTGATATCCCTCCTTCACTCTGCATTCTTTTCTCCTAAGCCACCAAGGCCCAACACTTTAATGTTTCCTCATAGAGAAGGTGTTCCTGCTCTCAGAACTGGAACATCTTTTGACTGCTGTCTTCTGGACCCCCCCTTAAACCCCTCCAAAGAAAATAGTGGCAATCTTGCCTATAGCTGTGTGACATGGAGGTTGATGGGCAGAGATTAAGTGGTACCCCAGTCCCATGTCCTTTTTGAAAAGAGAAAAGAGGGGGAGAAAGCCACACCTGAGTGAGGAAAATAAAATAACTATGAAGTCCATAAGCAAGAACAAAATGCAGAGCTGGGCAATAACTTTTATTAAGATCATGAGGTCAAAGCTTTCTCACACACATCTCACAACTCTCCATCTGTCAAGATAATATGAAAGTAAGAGGATGTGGAAAAGCCACAATGTGTTCAAAAATCTGGCCTGTTGTCTGTTGGCCACAGTGTGTGTCCGTAACTGAAAGACACTGGATGCAGGCTAGTGAAGAGAACGATCCTGGAATATCAGGCAACGGCATGCTGGGGTTCTCCCTCCATTCCCCACTGGCCAGAGTCATGGTTGAGAGTCAGACAACCGTTGGCTGTCTTTTTTATAAGCTCAGGGGTTTCTGGGGCAACCTAGAATAGCAGCACGGAGAAAAATGACAGCTGCTCTCAGCTGAGCTGAAGATTAAATTTAGGTGGTGTGGTAGGTTAGTAAAAGTCAAACGAAGCGAAATTGTAATGGTCACCTCATGCTTTCACATTCAAGACCCTGAACTTAAACGCTCAGTCAGTGAAGAGGCAAAAATGGATGAACTGATTGGGTCTTTGGAAAGATTAACACCTACATCTCTCTGTCTCTGTCTTTCCCCCTCTTCCTTTTCTCTTGTCTTTACAGCGGCCTTGCACTGCCAGCGGCTCACAACACAGTCTTAGTTCATTCCAGCGGAGGTTCCGGAAGCTCCAGCGAATCCGAGAGCAGCTCTGAGTCAGATTCGGACAGCGAAACGAGTTCTAGTGACAGCGAATGCAACGAAGAGTCACGCAGTGGAACTCCGGAGGTAAAACCTGCCATCTTGTATCTTCTCTCTGCGTGGTTGGAAATGGCTTCTGGATATGCATCTGCCAATCAATCAATAGTGGCCAAAGCCCTGTTTCGAACTACCATATGCATCAAAGGTAGTAGTTTCTGCAGTTTGTTGGTGGTCAGTGCAGCAGTCAGTGCACAACAGAGTGTGTGGCCTGGGTTTGTCCAAGCTGGCCACAGGCAGCCAGAATGTAGCAGTTGCCATTCGTCAGGTGTTATAGGGGACAGACAGTGGGCTACATCTTAAATGGTTAGTGCCAACTAGAGTAGACCCACTGGATATTGACTTACAGGAGTCCCACTGAGTCTACACTAGCTAAGGTTGCCCATTGGATTTAGCCAGGTGTTGTAAATGTGATAAATAAGCAGATTTGTTGGATTTAGGTGGGGGTTGCAAATGTCTTCTCTGCGCTGCCATGCCTTTATAAATGCTTTCCCATCGTTCATCCTTCTGCAGCCTGAGCCACCTTCTGCTAACAAATGGCAATTGGATAAGTGGTTAAACAAGGTCAATCCCCACAACAAGACGATCATCAACAATCAGCTTGAGAGTCATGGTGAGAATAGCTCTCAAGCTCAGAGCAATGCCCAGGTGGAAGGGCCAAACAAAGGGAAGCTGAACAGCAGCCAGCCTCTCGCTGATTCCAAAGACAGGGCCTTACGGAGTCCCATCCGAGAGAAAGCCAAACCCCGCGTGGCCCAGAAAGCCCCCGCGGAAGCGAAAAGCTCCAAGCAAAAATCACCGGCTCACAATGAACCTCCCCCTCAAAGGACAACCGGGAAGAAGCAACCCAAAAAGGTAGAGAGGTCTTCCAGCACAGAAGACTACAACTGGCCCAAACCAAATATTACCAGCAGCACACCCAAAGAGAAGGATGCGCAGGAGACCCAGGAGCCGCCCAAGGTCCGCTCAAAAGTCACCTCGGGGAAGACCGCTCCGAGGAAAGAGCCGAGGACCACCACGGGCCCCGCGCCGGAGAAGAAGAAGTATCGCGGCCCCAGCAAAACGGTCCCAAAGTCTCGGGAATTTGTGGAAACGGATTCGTCCACTTCCGATTCAAACACTGACCAGGAAGAAAACCTGCAGGCTAAGACCTTGCAGGGTTGCAGCGGCCCCGACAGTAGCCTCAAAGCCAAGGACTCCAACAGCAACCTCCTCAGCGTCAGCAGCTTAACGAGCAACAGCAGCAATGCTTCCATGGACCAAAACAGCAACGATTTAGAGGAGCCACTGTTTTCCCCCATCCCCATTGTGCAGAACGAACCCCTTTCCCCGCTCAAGGAGTTTGAAGAGCTCAAATACCTTTGGGTGAAGATAGATCTGAGCTTACTCTCTCGGATCCCCGGGCAAGACCCCTTCGAGAGCCTGCCAGGAAAGCCTGAACCCCGAGAGGTCAACACCAAGCACAAGCGACAATGCCGTGAGTCTCCAACACCAGCAGCTGAAAAACCCTCCACAAAATCAAAAAGGAAGCACAAGGTAAACCCATCTCTTTAGAAAGCAGGACTCCTGTATCAGTGGGGGATCAGTTCCAAGCCCTCCGCGGATGCTGGAAAATGCAGATTATATCTAACACTATTATAATAGCAAATACTAGACATAGTGTGGTCTCTGGCTCGGTTTAGTGGCCAGTTCTGGTAACTTTGTCTTTAGAAATATATATTTCTAATTTTTTTTCTTTTAATATCTTTTAATATTTTCAGGCCATGGATAAGTGAATCAGTGGATACTGAATCTGTGGATACAGGGGTCCTACTGTACTTCAGAAATTAATTTAAAAAACAGAAGGGGTGTTCCTGCAGAACAGGGTGTCTCCCTCTTTGGCCATCCAGATGTTTAGAACTTTTAACTTCTAGCCCACATGCGCAGAGATTCTGGGAATGGAAGTCCAAAATATCTGGAGAGCCAAAGGGAGTGACTCACCACTGTGGAAGAAAATGTGTGGCTTCATTTTCCAGACACTCTCATGCTTCTGGTATCATAGATGGAGGCTTGAGGGGGGGTAGATGGTGACAGTTCAAATCGCCTGCTGGCAGAAGAAGCTTCTGCCTATTTATAGATCCCTACAGTTGAGGCATGTTTGAATTAGGATTGTGTTGTTCATCAGATGATATTCCTTGTGCTGTCTCGGGCACTGAGAACAGATTTTCCTCCAACTTAAATAGACATGCCTCTATTAAAACCGACAGAATGTACTTGCCATGGCAGTCGCTGAGTGCTGTCTTAGTGCACAATGAAAAACATGGGATTTGTTACATCAACATCTGTGGTTTATCAAAATGCTATTGACTTAAGTAGCTGTCCTCCTTTCCTTTCAATGACTACCTGTAAAGTAGGATCTATTGTGTCTCGAGAGACAATGCTTTATCATATGTTTGATGTTATTTAGTATGCCTGTGGGAATCCTATCATGTGGGACATGACAGCGTGCTTCAAACTGAAATGTGTTTTTCAGAAATGAAACAGGGGGTTTGTATTAAAAAAAATGGATATTGGCAGCCGTCTGAGTGGGCTTGCTTTTTTCTTCTTATTTTTAAACCTTCCGGAAATGGCTCTACTACTGGTCTCGCAGCAGAAAAATGGTTTTAGGACTATGTTGTTGTTGTTGTTTTAAAGGGTATTGTAAATCTCAACAAATGCAGCGTCAGCTGTCAGTAACATTTGCCTTCTGAAAATGGCAGCTTTAGAGCTCTCTGAAAGAAAACAGTGGAGACAGACAATTGGCCTGCATTCATGATGGTGATAGAGAGGGAGTCATCAAGCTTATGCAAAACTGTTTAGAATCTCTTTCTCATAATTAAGCTGAGGTGCCGATGACGTTGGTGGAACCAATATCTGCAGCTTCTAGCAATGGAGCTTGCCCTATAGTTCAGCCGGGGGAAAACTCCTCCTCCTGATTGATCCCAGCCAACCCACTCCGTACTTCTTCCTTCTGTGTAAACAGTCCAGGAAGTGGTGTTGACTGTTCCCTTCTTCCTTAGTCGGTCTCTCAGCCCACCTTTATTTATTTATTTGTTTGTTTGTTTTGTTTTTAGGCTGCCTTTTTCCCAATAAGGGGACCAAAGGTAGCTTAGAATATTTAAAAGATCAGAGTTAAAATATAAGAAGCATTAAAAAAAACAATTAAGCTATACACTAATTTAAATACAATTAAATAATTAAAAGGCATTCAATATTAAAAACTATCTTAATTTTTAAAAAAGCATTCAAGGACTCAACCATGATTGTTTAGAGATGGCGCTGCGGGCTAAACCGCAGAAGCCTGTGCTGCAGGGCCAGAAGACCAAGCAGTCGTAAGATCGAATCCACGCGACGGAGTGAGCTCCCATCGCTTGTCCCAGCTCCCGCCAACCTAGCGGTTCGAAAGCATGCAAATGCAAGTAGATAAATAGGGACCACTTCGGCAGGAAGGTAACAGCATTCCGTGTCTAAGTCGCACTGGCCATGTGACCATGGAAGATTGTCTTCGGACAAAAACGCTGGCTCTATGGCTTGGAAACGGGGATGAGCACCGCCCCCTAGAGTCGAACACGACTGGACAAAAATTGTCAAGGGGAACCTTTACCTTTACCTTTACCTTCAGCAAAGATGGTCATGAATTTAAAAATTCACCAAATTCATTGAAAAAAACACTAGTTTGTTGATTCATATTTGTATGAATCAGTGTCTCCTGATGAATACGAATCAATGAATTTTAGCGATTTTTGATTCATCCGTTCATATGGTGATAAAAGCCCCCCAGACACCAAAAGACACCAACATTGCAGGGAAGCGTCACCCAGTTTGGTGAAGACTGGGTTTCAGACATTCAGATTATATACCCACGAAGTGGGTCCCCCCAGGAAAGTGCCATTTAGAAGCTGGCTTGGAAGAAGCCCACTCTTCACCAAACTGGGAGATATTGTAGAGGAGAGTCATAAGAAGCTTCTCTGTGCTTTTGGATTATCTAGGTACCTAAGAGGAACTTTCTGGATAGGCTTTTGTAGGTTTATAACTTGGACATTTGAAACCCAAACTTTGCCAGACTTGCAGGGCTTCTAGAGGAGAGTTAGGGAAAGCTTCTCTGAAAATCTAGTGTCTAGATATAAAGCCCTGGGTGCTTGGGGGGGGGCATTATATAGGGTTTTAAAGTTAATTAAATGAATTTGTGGATCAATTTGTCAATTCATCGGGAAAAATTGCAAATTCGTAATTTAAGTTGTTCGCCTTGAGAAATCACGAACCAAAACAAATCACCATTTTTCTGATCTGTGCCCATCTCTAGTCCTCAGGATAAAAGGGAAAGGATAAACGGGAAGAGGCCAGCCTGCTCTCCTAAGGAAGAAAATTCCATAACCTGGGAGCTGGTGCAAAGAAGGCCCTCTTTTGTGTCCCAATCAGCCCTGCCTATGCTGTCAATGGGACTGAGAAGAGAGCCTCCTGTAATGATTTTAAGCACTGAATAGGCTCATATGGGGAGATACAGCCGTAAGGGAGATACTAAACCCAAGCCATATAGGGCTTTATAGGTAATGATCAGCACTTTGAATTGAGACCCGAAACAGACTGGCAGCCAGTGCAGTTGTTATAACGGGTGTTATAGGCTCCCTATAACTGGCCCCAGTCAGTAATCATCTTATGAAGATGAGCAGGGAAATCTTTCTCTATTAAGATGGATGATACCTCTCTCCCTCGAAGGTTCAGGAGGGTGCCCATAAAGTAACGATGGAAAGGAGAAAGGAGGTGAAACTAGAAGGAAAGAACTCCACCAAATATTAACTCTGGGTTCATCTTTTATTGACCACCTTCCCCTACAAATCCCAATAGGGAAGTAGCCACCAGAATGTGCAAGGGTGGACAGCCCGTGGCCTGGCGCTCCTTTCATGCTGGGGCAGAAGTCTAGGGGAAAGAGAAGGGACTGAGGAAATGAGGAGTGGGACTGAGAGAGTAGAAGAACGAAATGAGAGAAAGAGAGTTGGAGGTAGAGGAAAGAGTCTGCGAGGAGGGAAGAAGGTATGTGGTCTCAAATTGCCCCTAAGAGAATTCAGGTCTTAGGAGCAACAATGTTAGTTTCTGCTAGTACCACTACCCAAAGAGTTAGCTGCAATGTCTTACTCGGAAGCCTGTGTTGTTAAAATAAAATTAGCCATTTTTTTTCTGCACACGCACATTGTGTAGCTACCTCATCATTCTACCTAATGTAGGCAACAAGAAGGAAATGCACCTCGGGCGTGCAAAATGACCCACTGTGATACACAATCAGGAGAGAGGGAGAAAGTACATAATTCTGTTTGAGTTTAAACTAAACCTTCGCCCTTGTCAAAAAAACTCCCAGAAAGTACAACAGGTTGGTGGATATATTGTGCAAGAAACAGCTAGCCAGGCAGGCCAGGGCCCTGAAAAGATAGTGACTTGAGATCAATTTGTTATGCCATTAAGTTTGTCACCGTTCCAGCTTGCCGTTCTCCAACCCCTTGGGAGGCACCATCACTCAATCCATTTAAATGAAGCAGTGCTAAAGGTGTGCTGAATTTTACAAGCTGGGGGCAGCTGACATTTTATTCTATATATATAAGATAAAAGGTCAGCTGCCTCCAGATAGATAGATAGATAGATAGATAGATAGATAGATAGATAGATAGATAGATAGATAGATAGATAGATAGATAGATAGATAGATAGATAGATAGATAGATAGATAGATAGACGGACGGACGGACGGACGGACGGACGGACGGACACAGATGATGGATGGATCGATAGATAGATAGATAGATAAATCGATCACAAACAGGTGTGTTTTAAACCTAACTCCAACAGTCTGGATGATCATTGGCCTAAATGAACTTTCGATTTTTTGGAAGGGCACAGAATGTGATTTCTTCTGTGCTGTGATGATTGGTAAAGTTCATGTGGGACATTCCAAGGTTTACAAATATGTAACTCTCTGGTTTTCTTTTGCGGTGACTGAAGCAATCTGAAAGTTTGGACACATTTAGTGAAAACAAGAAGCAGCGCTTGGAGGAGACGCCTGCTTCGTGTCTGCTTCCGCCATGCATTTCTCCAATACCCAACCACAGACTAACCAATACTACTAAAGAGTAAGTTTTTTCCTTGTTGCTGATGCTGCCTTTTGTAATACAGTCATTCAGAATCCAGTGTCATGAGCAGATGTTTCCCTACTAAGGTTGCCAGGTCTTGGGCCATAGGATGAAAACTCAGGGAACTACTGCACCCCTTGAGAGAGAGAGCAAATCTCAGTGAGAACAGCACTGAAGGAGAAAAAGAGCTTCATTTCATTGTGGTCAGTGCTGGAATGCCTTCCTCCTGTTCTCTGACTCACTCCCAAGTGGTGCCCATAGAGATCGGCACCAACCACCAGTTCAGCAGTTCCACATGGTTCATTTACCATATTTTTCTATGTATAAGACTATACTTTTGTCTAAAATATTTAGACTAAAAATTGATGGTCGTCTTATACACGGAAGTAAGCTGAGGAGAGAATAGAAACAAGTGGAGGGGAAAGCGGGGATCAAAGCGATCCTGCAGCACTTTGATCCCTTTCCCCCTACACTTGCTAAGCCCCACTTAGTTTTTATAATGTTGGGTTAGAAAGTGGGGGTGTCTTATATATGGGGGCATCTTACACACGGAAGAATACGGTACTGGCCCCACCACTGATCCATGCCCTGCCCCCTCCAGCATCACCCACTCGGAGGCAGTGCCCTGGCTTCCTTGCCCCACCTTCTCTGGGTGCTGCCTCCAAGTGGGTGCCCATGGGAGGGGTGGAGTGCCAATGCACAGATCAGCTGTGGGGCCAGCAAATGAGCCATGATAAAGTGCCCATCTCTAGACTGACAGACTCCTAGCTCCGTGGTTGGATGGGTGGGTTGCCCTTGCTGGACTGAGGCTCTCCAGCACGTATTATTTTGCAACTGTTACACAAGTGTGCACCTTCTCTGCCATCACAAGGGTCTACTCCCTTGCCTCACGTCTTTCACCCTGAAATCAAGGGGAACGGGAAGTGGTCAACCTTGCAGTCTTACTTTCTACTATGGATCGCTCCCTCTATGAAAAGGGAAATTAGTGTCCTTTTCTTAAATTACGTCATTGCTTTCTCACCACAGTGAGCTTAATTCTCTCTCACCTTAACGGTACCCAATCGGGACAGTTTGGTACAGGAGTGATTCACTCCTAGGCAGCAGAATCCATCTGTGCAGACTGCTCTGAGTGGTTCACCATCCCACCAAAGTTTGGCAACTGTTGGTAGCAAAAGCTACATTTCTTCACATAAAACAAGCTGACTTCATCTAGGTAATTTGTAGTGCTGCTAATAACTACTTACGTCATCAGGTGCCCTGGGGGTGGGGAAATATATGGAGTCTCCACCTCCTTCTTTTATCCTTTTGTTGATTTTAAAGGATTGAGCCGAGAAATAATTTCTCCTTCTCAAAGATAGGATAGTGGAGCAGTAATATTTATGTTTATGAAGTAATCCTTCAATTAATATATAATCCTTGGTTTTTAAACCCATTGTGAACTAAAGCCAGGTTGTTCCTAATCTCTCTTATATCTGTGTAATTGCTAACTCATCAGAGTGCAAATAAATGTACCTCGATTTACCCTGTTTAATACCTCAATTTCTCAAGTCAGAAAACGCACATATTGCATAGGGCTCTCGATGCATTTAGAATGAGGCAAATTGCCTCTGTCATTCCATCAAGTATATATGTTTATCTTTCTCCAACACTTACATCATCTATTTTTTTAAATCTCCTATTTCCTGCCTTCCTCAAGCCCTGGGGGTCTACCCCCAACCTGATGTTTCATAATTTGAGCTTGTTTTCTAGGTCATTAATTTGATTCCTTAGAGCTCTGGAACCATTGCTATCCTTTGTTAAAATATAATTGTGTTCATCAATAGTTATTTCCCCTATGCTAGTTCACCATTCCCTTGGTCTCAGATGCTTCCAGTTGCCTAGTCAAAAAATAAAAATAAAAATTGACTTTCTTATTCTTTATGTTTAATTGAGACCATGGCCACATTGTGGCTTGTTATTAATACCCTCCAAGTTATCTAAGCCAATCCATTTTCATAACTTAAGCAATAAGAGAGGAATGTAGAAATTTAAGTGCCTGGGAAAACGTGTGATAGAGTGGCAGGAGGATTAGCCACAAAACAAAGAAAAAATATATAACTAATGGATGATAGGAAATTACTTCAGTGGAGTTATTATAAGAAAGCTAAAGATGACCGTTCTTTCACTTTGATTGGCAAGCTGGAAACAACAATTTCAGAGAAGATGTAAGTATGAATTTTAGAGGGAGAGAGAGCCATCTTTTGAGGTGGGGAAAAAGGACGGTAAAAGTCTCATAAAACCCAACATTGAGCAAACTTTGTTGCAGCATGGATGAAAACTTTTGTAGGGGGCATTCATTTTGGTGAGCATGTTTTTAAAAACCCCTTTTTCTCAGCCACAGCTGACTCCCCTATGCTGTTGGAGAAAGTTCCTGGGGAAAATGCATGTTTCATGGATATATTTGTTCAGAAAATATGCATAGTTCCTGGAAATTTCCCCTTGCTTTTTAAACTACAAGTTGATGTGGAAATGAGCTAAGAGTTTGGGGAAATCATGCTGGCTGAAGATTTTGGGAGTTGTTTTCCAAGAGAGGGAGAGATGAACTTTTCCAAGCAAAGGAGCTGTAGACAGAGACAGAGACAGAGAGAGAGAGGAACTTTTCCAAGCAAAGGAGCTACAATTCAGAGGTTGAGCAAGTACTTTGCATCCAGAATTTCACAGGTTCAATTCTCAACATCTCCAAATAGGGCTAGGCTAAGGAAGGATCCAGCCTAAAGCCCTGGAGAATCGCTGCTGCCAGTCAGAGTTGACAATAGAGGGGTTTAGATGGACCAACCATCCAACTCAGAATTAGTTAAGGTCCTGTATGCCTTTGATCTGCAGAATGGACTCAAGTTTGAGTACATATGAAACTGAGGGTACACAAAGACAGGGGAAGTTGCAGTGGCTTGGTTCAAGTTTAAAAGGTTCTTATCTTTTATCTCTCCCTAAAGTTATTCTTCTGTTCATAATGATCAATGTTTCTTTTCCCATGAGAAGGGTCCAGACGGGCCTTTGGATCACCCCAATTTGTCCCCCTTTTGATTAATGCCACTCCCCTTCCCGTCCCCTTCCTCACCTTTTCTCACAGCCATCATTCGGCAGGCTACGGCAACTTTCCTTTTTTGTTGTTGTTAAAAAAATAACTGATACAGCGCAACAGCAATGCATCTACCTAGCATGATACACATAATACCACCAATGTATCCCCTTTATCTAAAATAGCACTACATCAATAGGAAAATATTTTTAAAGAAATAAAATGGTAGAGTAGGTGAAAAATGAGGAGGAGGGGTTCTCTGTTGTCCTTTTCAATGCCATAACCCACCAAATATGCCACAGGGTTGTCAGCTCTGATAACACCACCCACAGCTTTATTTGAGTGTGGACAGACCATCTGCATGGGCTACAGAACAGGATAATTAGGAGCGCTCTGAATTGTTACCCAAAATTGTAACCCTAGTTTTGGCTTTGCCAAAAAGGAGTGAGATAGCTCTAAAAAGGGGCGGGATGGATTGCTGTAAGTCGAAACACGCGTGGATGCCATAATTTGATTTGAACCGAACAGCACCAAAAGCGATCCATATATTCCCATCTGGATGTGTCCTGACATATTGATGTGTTCGTCTCTGACTGGTAGCTGGTCTCTGAAGCTGCCATCAAGGGAGTTTCCCAGACTTAACTTGGAGAGATTGAACATTGAGCATGTGGCTGGCCACTATCCTACAGCCCCTCTCTTATCTCACTAGTCTTGTGAGATAATCTTGTGATCCCGAATATATATATTTTAGCTACATATTTGATAGATACAACATATTAGCGAGAATGGTAATGAAATTCTCATTTTGACAGCCATGGTTTTTATTTGCTAACGGCCACAATTAGGAGGTAACTGAAATAGATGCTCCTATCATTAGACCTGGGGAAGTGATGCACAGTATGGCCAGGTGAGGCTATTGAATTTCTCCCAATTGTGAAATCAAGCTGCTTTTGCTTAGCTTGTTGCTCTTTGATTTGTTGCTTTGAGGTATTGTAAATCTATAAATGCCTGACACTGACTTAAATTGACTAAGAGGGAGACATAAATTCTTGTTGACTTAATTTGCTATTGAAAATTTAAGTCAATAATCATGAAAAGTAAATGGCTGTGGAATGCAATATGAGTTGTCTAAGGAAAGATTAAAATTCAAGTAATCTTCATTGACTGGACGAAGACAGTAAGTAAAATAATACAAAAACGAATCCATGGCCAAATTAACATGTTAAGAAGTCTGCTGGATTATTATTATTTTTTTAGCAGTCAGGATTTAAGCAACAATATATCGTTTTTCTTTTTATCCTCCAGTGGAGAAAGATATGTTTTCCAAGAGATGATGATTAATCCTAGGTTATTGAAGGACATCTCACTGAAAGAGGTGGCTCATTCTGAGCAGAAGCCATACTCTTTCGAGAACCATGTTGGTCATTCCTGCTTCCCTTGCCATAGGCACAGGGGTGTTTGAACAAATTATGGAGGAGTCTGTCTGCTCTGGGTTTTCATCTGAACTTTATAGTAGCTGACTCGATAGTCCAGTGAACTAAGTATCTGGCTGTAGAGCCAGTAGTAGGGAGATCCATTCCCTCATTGTGTCTACTGAGAGCAGAGCCATCCTATGTGGGCTTAGGCAAACTGCACAGCCCCTAGTCACGTCCGAAGAAAGAAATGGTACACCACTCCTAAGTATTCTCTACCTGGAAAATGCTGAAAAGGTTTGCCATGTCATAATTGACTTTATGGCACAGGATGATGATGAGGATTTTATAGGAGCTATCCAAGGTAGTCACCATCATGTCCATTATTTCTCAGCTGAAAGTGGTTACAGACACCAGAAAGGATAAATTTTTAGAGAAAAGTTTCCAGAACTCTGTCTGGGAAATTTCTGAAGACTTATGGGGGTTGTAGTCAGTAAATTCCGAAAACCCCATGCCTAACACTTCCCTCTTCACATGCTGACAACCATCCTCTGATGTGGATTCCTGCCTTGAGCAGGGGGTTGGACTCGATGGCCTTAGAGGCCCCTTAGAACTCCATGATTCTGTGATCCTATGATTCTTTGACCAAAACTGATGGGCAATGTCCTGAACAGAGCTTGTGTTGAATCTATCCTGGTGATAATAATTGTTTGTTCTTCATTCCTTTTTTTTCCCCCTTTGGTTCCTTGGCAGCACCAGCTCCATTAAAAAGGCGACAAAGAAAAGGGACGAGAAGCTGTTTCCACCTCCACTGTCTCCTCTGCTTGATGAGGCAGCACCCGGCCGGAACAATGAGAACAGCTCCTTTGGCCAAGATAATGCCTTGACGATCCCTCTGCAAGCCAACGTCTGCTCCAAACACAGAAAAAGCGAGAACAAATCATCCTGCAATTCAAAGGGAAGCTGTGTAAGTTGCTAAAACAAGGTTGTTCAAGTCCAAATGACATGGTCCAAGACCACCGTCTTCTCAGGAAAAAAATCAGCTTGAGTCAATTGAATGAGATTCCATTGATTCAGTGAGTTGGCTCTAATAGGGACTAGCGGTGAGATGGAGTCCACCATAGCAAGTTCTGGCATCAAAATGTAAGGACCTGCCTTGTGCTGAGATACATCATTGATCTAGTGTGGCCTATAGCAGTGGTTCCCAACCTTGGGCCTCCAGATGTTCTTCAACTTCAACTCCCAGAAACCCTGGCCAGCAGAGGTGGTGGTGAAGGCTTCTGGGAGTTGTAGTCCAAGAACATCTGGATGCCCAAGGTTGGGGACCACTGGCCTGTAGTGTCTACTCAAGGCCAGCTGAACAGAATGCACCAGCTGAAGTTCTGCTGGATGTTCACCAGAGAAAGCTGTGGTCAAATGTGCCAGCAAAGTGAGCCGCATCTGTGTTAAACTGTGAATTCCACCTCTGAGTAGGAGACGGGCTAGTCCAGAATCTCATTTCTTAGAAAATATTCACATACAAACTCCGCACTCATATACTAGATAATATTTCCTACAGGAATTAAATGGTGATAGGAAAGAGGATAGGAAACCTAAGTCTAGCTGACTAGCATGGCTGCTCTCTGCCTTGTGAGGATAAAAGCAATATATCTCCTCCCCAGGGAGGGTTGAGAATGTGAGAAAAAGAAGAAGGAAGTGACGTCAGCAAGCCTAAGAGTACGAATCTAGGTTGAAGAAAGAATTCAGAGCAAGAAAAAAACCATGTAGGAGAGTCAAGGGGCCTCCTCATGATCTGCCTGCTTCCTCCCCTACAAACACTTGCATCTTCAATGTAAGCTGAGTTGTACCCTATCACCTCCACAGAGCTGGAGAGGTTGAAGAACAAAATTCTTCTTCTCTTTTTCACTGAACTACCATGTCTCTCCTCATAATCGCCCTCTCCGCTCCTTCAATAGCCTCTCCAACCAACACTACATAACATCATTCCAAGGATGGAAGCTTGTGAGAGAAAATGGTGGCCTCCATTTAGCTGCCCTCATTTTTTCTCCCGAGAACCCGACCTGAAATATCATGATATATTTCATATATAATTTCATGATATATACCACATCATGATATATTTCTGCTTGGAGTGGAGAACCTGGGGTGGGAGATGTGAGGACCGTGTCCGAGAGACCACCAGGAGCAGTGACTTTCTCTCCCCTCATTCGTTTCACCCTGTGCATCCCCTTCCCTTGGTTTGATTGTTTAACTCCTGTATCACCCTTAAACTCACCCAGTCTCATCTGATTTGGGACACTAAGCAGGTTCAGGCCCAGTAAATACTCAAGTGGGAGATCAACTAATAGGACTAGAAAAGGATCCTGCCTGAACCCATGAAGTTCAGTTGCTGCCAGTCAGACTTGAGAGTTTTGACATAGGTGGACCAAAGGTCTGGTTCAATATAAGGTAGGTTCCATTGCTCTTACTCTACAGCACAGTTTCTCCCTCATCTTTTTTTTGACTTTGGATGCCAACAGATCACCCTGAATACACTGATTCTGTCCAATTTCAGAAGGCCTAGCTAACTTTTGGATGATGGACCACCAAAAAATACCAGGGATCTCCCAGTAGGGTGGGTGCAACTCATAGATGACAAGTCTGGGAGAGATGAACCATACATCCAACTCAATCTCAAGCAACTTCCTGCTTCTCTCACCTATAAATCTCTTTTATGGCCTATGAAAGGAGGCAGTATCTGCACTGTTGTTGTTTTCCCCTCTCGTGCTTGTCCTCGGTCCCAGCCTTAATCATTGGAGGCGATGAGTTTTCACTTGCCATCCCCCTTATTTTAATAAGCAAGCAGTGCTACAAGGCACCCATGCTGACATTACACCTTTCTGGAACGGAGTGTTAGAGAAGCTGTGCGTGTGTGCAATATGTCGTTGGTGGTGCTTAATTAATCTACGGAGCTTGACTTATGACACGGAGTCCATGAGATGCAAAATATGTGCCTGGATTGTAATTTCAAGAACACCAATGTGTATTAGGTGACATGCAAAGGTATTATTAGTATGAACGCTGAAGCAGCTAATTAAAATCATTTTCCACACAGGAGGAAGAGTCCCTCAGCAGGGCCCCCAACACTCTGCTCGACACCAGCCATCTAGACAATGACATCTGGTCTACAGTTCCTGCTTTTCCCGATGGGGATTCTGAGCCAAGAAGACCTAAAATAACGTTCGATGACATGTAGGTAACAAACTTAAAAGCTATGTGGTCATTTCTGGTCCAGATTTCAAAATGTTAGAGATTTATAATTCTCTAGATTTGATTACAAATCCTCTAACAAGAAGAAAAAGAAGGGGGCACCTATAACTGTACTGGGTTTTACAAATTAAGTGTATTCCTAGACTTTCTTCTGCAGGATGCAAGGAGATCAGTTTTCAGTCTTGAGATGTGTAGAATTGTATATCGTTGCAAAGATCCGGGTGTTGCATGTTGTTGTTTTTATGCACCATCAAGTCACTTCAGATTTCTGCTGACCCTCCTAGGATACGTGAGACATTCAAGGATTGATTTACTTTGCCACGCCATGGTCAAGCATAGATTCAAATCTACATTTCCTGAGTCCCAGCTTGACACTCTATTAGCTACACGACACTGCTTGGCTCTTATGGCATGCCTGGGAAATTATTGGTGGGTTGATACTTTAGAAGGGGATCTTTGGACTACATCTCCTTTGATCGCTTTTGTCTGCACTGCATAATTCTGATGGGATAGACCCAAGTGACTGGAAGGTCATAAGTCCCAGAACCCTGCATGAAATAGACCTCCCGGACAAAATGCAGCCATTAGAACCCAAGTACATTAGACTCATCGAATCAATGGAATGTGTGCTAAGTGTTGACCCAATAAGTTGCAGCCATTCAAAGTCTATTTTTAATCTCTCCGCTAGTTGACCATCACTGCATGTTTATGCTCCTGTGTTCCATAGCCCCAGGTGGCCACTTAGTTTTCACCTCCAATCCTGAACCCACATCTTGAAGGAATCCCACTCCTTAAGGCCCAGGATGCCCTACAGACTCAAAACGTGCCACATGAACTGTTCTTCCACAGCATCTGGCTCAGAAGGTTGCAGATTGTACTCCAAAGAATAGTCACCTTGAAAAGGGAGTTCATGGAAGTGTGTTATAGTGCCCAGGTTTGCATTATATATATTAACTATTGTTGTAGGCCTAACTGAGATTTTTTTATATTTTTTTCTCCTCTCTCCCAGCAGCTGCTATTTAAGAACTAGACATTCATACAGTTAGTGTTGTATCTTGTCTGGCCCTTGGTTAAGGTTCTTTCGGTGAAGACAGGCGATGTCAATGTTGCAGGGCAATGAACCTGCTCCAAGTTTCATTCAAATATTAAGGGAGCTGTTCAAGGTGCTGAACCTATTTAGAATAAGGCTCAACACCACAAATAAGTTCTGTAAAAATGCAAGTTAAAATCCGGAGCAGATTTCTGGACCCCATGACACCTGAATAGCCAGCCTCCACTGGAGTCTTTCCTTACCTATTTAGATGCCTTCAAATAAACCAGCAGGTACCAACCCCTGGAACATTCAGGATGTAAAACAAGGGTGCTACTTCGTATTAATGGCCCCCTCTCCTCAGCTGTACATGTAGGTGAGATTTAGCTTAATTAACATCTCCAACAGCACATAGTTTTCTTTTCAGTATTGGCATAGATTTGTACATCATTTATACTTAAGCAGGTTTGGCTTTGTGCAACCCCAGTATCACCTTGCTGGCTTTCTCATTCCTCTAGGATAGTGGTTCCCAACCTTGGGTCTCCAGATGTTCTAGGACTAAAACTCCCAGACGCCTTCACCATTAGCTGTTCACCAAGATTTCTGGCAGTTGTAGTCCAAAAAAACCTGGGGAACCGAGGTTTGGGAACTGCTGCTCTATATTATCTCTGCAGATTATTAATATTTACATTTTAGCTTTTATTATTATTATTAATGAAACTCTGTTATTTTTAATGACTTTGGACTGCGTCTCATTTCCTCCTGTTCAGCAATCTTTAATAATGCCCTTGGCATTCCTGGTTTGCCCAGTTAGACACTTTGCAAATATATCTTCACATCCAGCTGTTTTGCACTGATAAGAATGGGGGGAAAAGCCCAAATAAAGGGTGCCATTTATCTTCGAAATGGATGGGGGCTTTTTGTCAAGCATGTGACATGATGTTCCTCTGCAGACATAACACTTAACCTTGGTTTATTTTCCCTGACTATGATTAAGTGTTACCTCTCTAGGCAGCTCGTGGGCTGGGAGGCTGTTGCCATCACCACACCACCCCCTAATAAATTTTGGAGTGAGGCACACACACCCCATCCCACTTCACAAACTGTCCCTATTTTTCTAAGTCATGGCAAGGAACCAGGAAAGGGAACACAAGTGAGTAAGGTTAGTTTTTGATGCATGGTTGGTGTTAAACTTGGTTATTGCCATCTGGGCCCTGGATCTGTCCATTCTCTAGGTACTCATCCATGCTTTCTTGGATGCTTCTGCATATGGAAGCATAGGGCTTCACTGTATGTTCGAGATCTTAAATAAGCGATAGCAGAGTGGCATTGGCTTGGATTATGGAGAACTGGCTTTCTTAAGGAAGGTGGGTTAAAGAAGCCTGTTTTAAATACAGAAGCTTGGTAAATTTATTTTTTTACTACGCTTCCCAGAATCTGGCTAGAGCCAGTTTGAGGTCTAGATCCTATTCAGTCCTGAAGACAAGAGAAAAACACACAGCTGAATTTACATCCATATGTTCCAGTGGCTACACATTTTCATCTCTGCCAGACTGGTTTCCATCTTGATTCCAGCAGTAGCTGCTCCATGCAACCAGCACCCTGGTTACTTGGAGCAGGAGGACTGGTTTCCATCTTGATTCTAGCAGTAGCTGCTCCATGCAACCAGCACCCTGGTTGCAGGAGACCACTTCTGCAAAGCTGAAAACCTTTGGTCTAGATCAGTGGTGTCCAACCTTGGCCCTCTAGATGTTCTTGGACTTCAGCTCCCAGAAATCCTGGCCAGCAGAGGTGGTGGTGAAGGCTTCTGGGAGCTGTAGTCTAAGAACATCTGGAGGGCCAAGGTTGGACACCACTGGTCTAGATGGGCAGGATAGAAATCCAATCAATCAGTCAATCAATCAATCAATCAATCAATCAATCAATCAATCAATCAATCAATCAATAAAACAAACAAGTCAGGCAGTGGCAACCACGAGCAGCTGCCCAAACATACACGCATGCATGAGAGTGAGAAGGGAAGCATGGAGCCTGAGTAGAGGGCAGAAGGGAAAGAACCATATGTGCAAGAGAGATTTGGTGGCTTCTTGCATGAGCTGGTGGAAAGTACGGCCGGTCACACAGCCACTAATGGATCCAGGTCACCAAAAACATGTGTTCCAAGCTCTGGTTCAAATCCCTTCTGGTTGCATCCCATATCAGCCATTAAGATTTCTAGGAGACCTTAAATCTCCAGTTCTTCCTCAAGATGACTTCTCTTACAACATCGCTGTGCAAATAAAACAGGAGGGGAGGGTCAAATCCCCTACTCTGGCTGCCTTGGAAGAAAGTTTTTTCCAAAAAGTGTAATGAGCCAAAGCAAAGGCAAAAAGCCAAAGTAAGCATAACGTCTAGACCGAAGAGGCCAATGTGGAAACTGAAACCTCATCTGTTGATGGTCCTTCGCCTTCTTATTGCCATTGTTATTGTTTTCTTAGGCTTCACAACGCAGATTACTACATGCAAGAGGCCAAAAAGCTGAAGCACAAAGCAGATGCTCTGGTAAGTGTCCAAATTCAACTTTTCTGCGCAGAGCTGGGCAGCTTATTCCAGCACCATGGTGTAGCTTGCAAAGGTACCACGATAAGCCAGAGGGCTGCTTCTAATTTGCATGCTTTATTAAAGTATGCAATTAATTACACTAATTATTGGCGCACAGCGCCATTAATTAACAGGATCTTCGCCTCATCTGCAGACAGGGAGACTGTTCCAAGAGGCATCTTCTGCCCAAGCGGCAACCGTCAGAATGTTCAAAGTTGGATTTTCCTATAAAGCGAAAGAGATCTTTCCCATTTTGAGGGATGGAGTGGAGGAAGGGGTTGTAGGTGTGAGGGTCGTTGCAGAGTGGGAAAGGCAGATTTTAGCCCTCTAAGCATAGGGCATTTACAGTAGCTTGGCTTACAGTTGTGGTGGGAAGTTTCAGTGGGGTTTCGTTCTAGTCCAGGGCCATAAGAAAACTGGAATTGATAACATGCCTTTTTTTTCACAAGGGACAGGATAAGCCTGGGATTTCTTTCAGAGGAGATTCGGGCTTCTCGGAGGCTTCCAGCAATCCAGTGATCTGTCTTTTCTCAATGGCAGAAAACTGGCAAAGTCAAGCAACTCCCGTGGACCTTATTTCTGCTCCTTTGGAGGCTGCCACCCAAGATGTAGGGGGTTTTTTGCCCCAGAGTCTTGGGAGGGTGCCTTAAAGGATTCTACCACCTCCACCCCAAAAAAAGAAAACGACACAGAAAACGCTAGAACTGGACCATCCAGACACTTCCTGGACTTTCTTGTTTTGCTTTGCTTGATGACTAGAAACAGACATCTCTGGGCGTGATGCACCCCACAGCAGAGTCCAGGGCAAAACTTTAGATTCCAAAGCCGACTCAGGTTGCTCTGTTCTGGGACGTGCTATTCTGAGGCCCTTAAAGAGGAGTTGACTGTTCAAATCCTTATTGAGTAAATAGATCTAACCTAGTGAGGCTTCTTACATAAAACTCTAAACAGCTTGCATCCAAATGATCTGAGAACCCAAATTTCCCTTTAAGAGGTTGTTTGGGTGTTGAGATCATCACGGAAGGCCTTTGTCTTGGTCTTACCACCCTTGCAGGTGTGTTTTGTGGGAACATTGGACAGGGCCTCTTCTGTGGCTGCTCCTTTAGACTCTGGAACTCCCTCCCACTGGAGGCCAGCCTGGCCCCATCTTTGCTGTCCTTCCGCAAGCAGGTGAAGACCTTACTTTTCAGGCAAGCTTTCCCTCAGTGACTGAATGACTAGGAGAAAATAAATGGGATGGTTTCTATTTTGTCGTATCTAAATCTGTTTTTTGTAATGCTTTTTAAATATAATGCTGTTCATTCTTTTTAAATATTTGAATAATTTACTGTTTTTGAGCTTGCAATGTTGTGTTTTTAATGATGTAAGTCACCTTGGGTCCCTTTTTGGGAGAAAGGTGGGGTAAAAATATTTTAAATAAATAAATAACCACTAGGATTTCAGTGAATGAAAACTATAGAATTGTCACTGGATGCGTGAAGCTAACTCCTGTTGACAAAATCTGTTGCCTAGTAAACATTGTACCGAGTGACATATGGAGAGACGTAGCAGCTAATAATGAAGGACTCAAAGGACCCGCATCAAATGTGTATCTACTCTTTGGCTACCATTGCACTCCTCCCAAACTGAAATCAAGGAGAAGTTTTGTTTTCAGAACACAAAGCTTGAAGGAACAGTAGAGAGTTTCTATAATGAGGGGAGGGGGAAAAAAACTATCCACCTCTTAGAATGGATGGAGGCTTAAGAAAGTCACCTAATAGGTTATGGAATGGAGTTGGCAGAACCAGTGATCCTCACACTGACACCATAATAGGTTATAGAATGGAGTTGGCAGAACCGAAGTGAACCTCACACTGACACCAACCTTCGCAAGTACAAAGAAGAACATCACACCTATGTCACTGTATGCTCTGCTCCTCAACATGTACATTGGAAGACTTCATGTTATCTGCCACTAAATGCTCTTAAAGGCACCCATTATTGGGCAAAAATTGCCTGATATATTTATTAATCGTATTGTAGCCTTCTAAGAGGGAGAGAGGGAGGGAGGGAGGGAGG